ACGGATTATCAAAGAGAAAATCGTGACCAAAAAAAGAGAGAATATGCGGGGTGTAAATATAGGGCACTTAATTGAGACCTATAACACGGCCCAAATCGATCCTTCCGAATTAAGAGGATCGCCAAAACGGTGTTACGAGTGTAACAATATATTGGATGTCTAGGTGATTTGCACCATAGCGATAGCGATAGTAATTTTTTTCATCAGTGCAGTGTTTACTTATATGGAATCTTTTAAAAGAACGTTTGATTACGACAATACAAACCATGCAGACACTAAAAATTTAAAATAAAATACGCAGAATCTGCTTACTCACTTGGAGTCATGAAGAAAAGAATATGTAGCGATAAGTACTACTCTGCAAGATTAAATTCTAAGAACGAATATGATTTTGCCAATGATGTATGTACTGCATACCGATATGGGCCACAGGTAAAAAAAGGGGTGCTAGTGGTTATGTTTAGTGAATCTCTAGGAGGAATTCCGGATTCCTAGTGGTTTTATTGAAGTTCATATGATTTTAAAAATTAAGATATACGTATTTAATTGCGAGCACAAGTCAATTGTTTACAACAGACGAAAAACTAAAACGTGTTAAATTTGACGTCTCCCGTTTAAAATTTAGATTTAGCAAAATAAAAAAATAATTTACGTACAATTTTGGAGACACGTTATAATTATTGGGCTAGGAATGACATATGTACACAGTCCCATTAACGTTAAAGCACTAATTATACATGTAGTAAACTCGCGTCGATAAACCAAACTTACTATATGTAAATAACTGAATTTTCGGTTTTACGGGTTGAATATAATAGATATTTAACAGTAATCAAATGGGGGGTTTTTTTTAAAAAAATTCATAATAAAGGTTATAACGATAGTAACTTAAAAGTCATAACTTTTCTTTCATGTCGTCGTTCTTTTTTGCATTAGATATAAGTACTCATCGAATTTATAACCGAATGTCATAAAGAATATCCGCCATAATTTAACCTCAAAGCTATTTGAACTATTCATGCAGCAAAATAATCGGATTTACTAGAAATAATGGACTAAATTAATGTTTAAATTTTCCACAAGAGAGTACTATAGTCAACGCTTTGCTTGTTTTCAGGATTAGATCCGATAGGAGTTCTTTAAATTTATAACCGAATACTTGTGATATTTTTAAAGCTTTTCAATATCCTACAAGAAGCAAATAATAAAGATTAAATAAAAGATAAAATAGTTATTGATTCACTTTATAATACATAGTTGACTTTTTGTGCTATACACTATACATAGTGACTCTCGTTAAACCGGAAGGACACAGTTAAGGCATGTTATGATTTTTTAAAATAAATACGGTTAATCGAGATGTATTATTACAGTATACAGAAATTTATAATTGGAAGAAAAATTGACTTAGCGTAAACGTGTAATTGACTTGTTATGATCAATGTTTGATAAAAGCTAACGTTAATGCAATAGGTCTAAATCCGTATTTTGCCGAATAAACAAATTTAATGAATTGCAGTTTTATCCATTTTGCAGAAACATAATTAGTTTACTAAAAAAATTAAGGTTTGTATAGGGGGTTTGTGCGGTAATTATGAAGTAATGTACACGTATTATTTGAACTTCTATATGTTTCTTTGATTTCGCTGTTATTGTGTAATTTTGTGAGATTTTCTAGAAACTCTCTAACCAATCTCTAATTCATTAAATTTTCTTACAGTATACCCAGTCCGAAACTAGAAAATCAAGAGTGGGCAACTTGGTGAGTATGCACCGTTCGACTCTGTGCCCATATGGACAACTTGATATCACGAAAATACAAGCTTGCAAAATCAACCTCCAAGTGCAAGAAAAGACTCGAAAATGCAGTCTCTCGGATGTGACGAGATATTGCGATTGGATTCTTCACTCGCGAATTCGATACTATTGGCATTCTTCTCTTTGTGAGGTATCTGACATGATGAATCGTATGACGTGCAAAAGACAGTCAGAAAGATGCTGTGTTGGGCGCACTATTGATTCTATCACTGTCTAATCGCCAAAGCAGAGGAATTAGGAATCCGAATTATTATCCAAAATGTGAGTATTTAGAGAATCGGAGGGTTCGAACTGCCGAAATTGTAGGGCTGTGATGGATAGAGATGAAAATGACACTCGGAGAATCTTGCTCCGAGCATTGCTAGCTGCCTATTATCAATGTATTACATACGTACAATCCATCAGATTACAGTCGACTCTCGATATAACGACCATGCAGATTCTATTGAATTTATATTGTTTACAATAGGATCTGCATGGTCGTTATATCGAGAGTCGACTGTACTTATATATGTTGTGCCTCAGATCACGCTCAGCCCAAATTAAGATAGGTGTATTATCAGAGTTAGGGTTTGGGTTAACGTTAATGCTGGGAGATGTGTTAATGGCCGAAAATGAGCACGTGAAGTGTGATCTAAGGCACAACATATCGATATACGTACAAGTAAAAATCTAGATTTTTACGGTTGTAGACAACTAAAGAATTACGGATCATACGAATAACCCTGCATCATTATTTACTTCAGATATTTAAAAAAACACAAAATCAGAGTTACAATAATGAATGGTATCCCAAAATTAAACGCCTTAAATTACAATAACGTGCTTTTAAGTTTTAATGATGGTGATAGCGCCAATACGTGATTGTTTCGTTGTTATTGTTAACAATAAGTGAAACTCAATGAAGAGAATTCTGAATTAGGCAAATAATGATTAATTTCTGAATCTTATTGGTGCATAACGATAAATTTGAAACAGATCAGCGAGGGGAAATTGTAACAAACGATAATTAACAGTTACTATATATCGAAATTTTTAATTACTATATGTATATTAGGTAATACTACATGTAATGCAATTGTTCATAACACTTAATTCCGAACTCCTTGCATCCTAGCCTGCATGCATTTATGGGTTATCAATGCTTTCTTTCATGTGTTTGTTTTCCAAAGATAGTTGCTCCCTAAATATTTCTAAAAATCTGATCTTTGTTTGCTTTGTCTAAAAAAAAAAAATATGATATTTTGTCTTTTATCCATCTCGTTTTGAGAACCTAACCCCTGTTCCACTGCATGATGTTGCTCAACATGTTGGATTATTTCTCTCACTGGTATCTTGTTCGTACCCTAATTTCAAACCGTGAATTTTATGCACATTTTTGGGAATATAGTTTGACGAGTCGTATCAAACAAGTTACTAAATAGAAGAGACAACAGTAGCAGAAGCAAGGAACTGCTTATGTTTGATCTATAATTGTCTTTTAAATCGTAACATAATTATGTTTGTATGCGTGGAAAAAATACCTATGTTACTACATGTACAAACACAAAAGTCGGAATTATCGCTATCATAAAGCCATCATTTCAATGAATGAATGTATGTATACTACGAGAAAGGCGATAGAAGCACATGCAGGAAAAAACACAAACAAAAAATTAGATTACCAAAAAGTCATGGTAACTATCTAAAATAGACTCTTTGAACTGTCCAACAATACAGAGTTTGTGTTAAGCGGACAAGATGGTACGAATAAAAAATGTGGATATATATAAAGAGCCAACTAAATCCCTTCAATAATAAGTTACTTCACCACTCGCTTTTGTTTTTTCTTGGGTAGTATAAGCGGCTTGCCGTTTAATCATTATCATACATTGCAATTTTTCTTATTTTTCGATTGAGTCGAAAAAAATAATAACTATAACTACTACCTAAAACAAAAATTAAAAATTATCCAATATGAAGGTTTCAACAGCTAAAATACTTTTTATCTTGACCATTTCAATCTTGATATTCGATGTCATTTTTGCATTACCACTTCCTTCAAAATGCAAAAGAAAACATTCATCTAACAAGCATCTGTCGCATCATAAAGGTCACAAAGGTCACAAAGGTCATAAAGGCCAAAAAGGCTCAAAAGACCACAAACCTGAAACTACACCACCCTCTTCTCCTGATGTTCCTAAAAATCCATTTAAATCACATAAATATAGTTCCGATGATACCAGTTCCAATGATACCAGTTCCAATGATACTAGTTCCAATGATACTAGTTCCGATGATACCAGTTCCAATGATACTAGTTCCGATAATACCAGTTCCGATGATACTAGTTCCAATGATACTAGTTCCAATGATACCAGTTCCGATGATACTAGTTCCAATGATACTACTTCCGATGATACTAGTTCAAATGATACTAATTCAAAAGATACCAGTTCCAATGATACTACTTCCGATGATACTAGTTCCGATGATACTAGTTCCGATGATACTAGTTCCAATGATACTAGTTCAAATGATACTAGTTCCGATGATACTAGTTCCAATGATACTAGTTCCAATGATACTAGTTCCGATGATACTAGTTCAAATGATACTAGTTCCGATGATACTAGTTCGAATGATACTAGTTCCAATGATACTAGTTCCAATGATACTAGTTCCGATGATACTAGTTCCAATGATACCAGTTCAAAAGATACTAGTTCAGAAGATACTAGTTCCGATGATACCAGTTCAAAAGATACTAGTTCAAAAGATACTAGTTCCGATGATACCAGTTCAAAAGATACTAGTTCAAAAGATACTAGTTCCGATGATACTAGTTCCGGTTCATCTGGATCTGGTAATTATTCCGGTCAAGGAACATATTATAACCCATCACTAGGCGCATGTGGTCAGACTAACAGTGACTCAGACCCTGTAGTGGCGCTTGCCGCTCCAGATTTCGATCCAACAACCCCTAGCGGTAATCCAAATAAAAACTCGCAATGTAATAAACAGATAGAAATTTATTATGAGGGAAAATCGGTTGTTGGAACAGTCGTAGATCGATGCCCAGAATGCGCATCAGGAGATGTAGATATGTCACCGTCATTATTCGAACAACTTGCAAGTAAGGATAAAGGTCGTATCGCTATTACGTGGAAAAAATTATATTAGAAAACATTGTATTAGAAACATTGTATTATATTTAAAAAAGAATCTATATATATAGATATATATAGCCAAGTGAACCTGGTTGTTCGCTTTTCCCCTTCTTCCCCTGATCAGCAAAGAGCATTTGGTCTCTTATTCAAATTTTCACTTATTGTTTCTATTACTAATTTATCATTTGCTGTGCAAATAACAACACACTACAGCACGCACGCTATTTATAGTATTTAATATAAATAAATTTGTATAAAAGAAAAAAGATGTACCGTAAAGCGCTCTGTATAGTATTTTAAAAAATCGCATAGTGAAATCTAATTTAATTATTTGCGGAAAAAATTAATTGGATTTACTAAAAAAAAATTGGACTAATTGTGGTTCAAATTTTTACAAAAGGGGATACGCTTTGCGGTATGTTGAATTTTAGAAGAATTATTAGATAATAGAAAAATAAAGAATTTATTTAACATAACAAGCTGATGCAGAATTTTCTAATTATCAAATAATCGGTATACGCATAGATTTCGCTCTATGTAGAACGATAAGAGAACAATAATCGCAGATTTCTTTGACCGAATGTAAAGCCTATATTATTAAGTGCAGAAAAAACAATTAGCAAATTATATATATATAATAAATACCTAAAAACATAACTAGAGTAAAAAATAAAAATTATCCAATATGACGTTTTCATTAGCTAAAATACTTCTTATCTTGACAAATCTTAAATCATAGATGCTGTTTTTTTATTTCACGGAAATTGAAATTTGCGGACCAATTTTTCATTAAATTTACTTTTTTAATTATTCAATAAGCGCATGTGCTAGAAGTATAAAATCTATTTAACAGATTCTTGAAAACCTAACGCTGATATAATTTATTTTTCCAATATTTTGCTAAGTGTGTGTATTTAACCAATTCGAAGAAAACCATATTTTTTCAATTAAATTAAAAAATACTCACTTTTTTATTCTTATTTGTCGGAACCAGATTGGAATCGGTATCATGACCATGACTGGGACCTTCATTTTTATGGCGTTTCAGTCTCCGGAAATTAGCGTTTTAGCTTCGCAATTGTCACTCATTCCTGAATTACAAAAAATTATTCTAGACTTGCAAAGAGAATGAACCAAAAATAAAGGGCGAGCGGTAAAGGACGTGATATCACTTCCGAAGTTTTGCCGCAAGCAGAAATCATATAATCAGTATCGAGGAAATATTACCAATATTCCAATTATTCAGTAGAAAAAGCGGGTGAAGAAGAAGTAGAAGGGAATTACGGGCCAGGGATGAACGAGATAAAAAGAAATAAGTTACTCCGCTCAAAAAAACAAAAGACAGTTGAGAATTAGATACAACCTAGAGTTTCAAAAACATCAAGAATAGAGGGTATTGTTTTAACTTTATTTAAAGTAGGTAGCATTATTGCTTAGGTTCTAATAAACTAAAAAATAGTTGTTATGTACGCTAGAAAAATGTACATAGCATCCAAAGAATCGGAGTTGGCTTTAAAAGATGATGGGTCTGAAACACTTAACTAAATTTTAATTTTTGTTTTTTAGACTTGTCTATAATTTTTACTGTCTCTAAACAAAATTCGTCGCGAACCATTTTATGCAACGCCTCGAAAAGCTTTGAGTTGTTAATATTCCGTTATAGAAAATAAAGTTTAATTAATTTAGTTTCATTTGAATCATAAATAATTTCTTAAGTTTTTTTTTTTAGCAAATCTTTTACTTATATGGTGTAAGAAATCTTAACTTGACAATATAATGAGTCATTTTTAAAATCTTTCAGCACTTTACAGAGAAAAGTGAAAAGGATATTGTTCTTACTCCTTGACACATTACTAATTTAATGGTAGAGTTAATTAATAGTTTCAAAGAAGGGGGAATTACTAGAAATGACATCTGCTTAGATCCATGTGTTGGAACTGGAACTTTTTTTGCTAGCATTTATGACTAGTAATATTGGTATTTTTATATGATTAGTCCAAAATTGAAAAAATTATGTGATTTTTTATCATGTGATCTAATTTGATTGGTTAGCATTATTATAGTGCCAGTTCAAATTATAATTTCATCAAAATTTGTACATATGTCACATGATTAATACATTACATGACTTTTTCAACAGAAATTAATATAATTTTTGATTACAGTATTTTTTTTAGAAAATTGAGTTAAGTTTTCTGACATCATACATATAATGTATCTTAAATATCTTATATAATAGATTGATTATAATTAATGTAATATATCGATATACTTTTACTTTCTATGGCCACAAAATCGAAACTGATTAACAGATGTATGACCTTTTTCCGCCTCAATAAGGATTTCATCGACAAGCAAATCATAATGTTCAGGCGATATATCCATCAAAGCAGGTAACCAAACCCTGAAGTGTCTTATACCTTTTAAGAAGAAATTTAGAGTCTTTGTATTCAAATAAAATTAAAGGCGTATTAATTTTTTTGAAATTCTAATGAAAGTTACTAAGGAAGTGGAAATTTACCGCTTCTCCTGCTGCACCACCTTTTTTTCCTAAGGTGACAAGTTTTTTCTCTTTTCTGATTTCTGAAAATTCGCCTGTATTTTCCAGAAAACTCGGAATATATTCAATTTCAATGTTCATTTCTTTCGAAACCATAAAATCCCTGACTGAAATTATAAAATCCAATTTATACCCTTTCGTCAACTACGTATTATATTTTAAATTTAAAAATATTTCTTACTCACATGCATTTACAAATCTTTTAGAAGAATCACCATCGGAAGTAAGATTCGCCTCAGCTTCGACAATTTCTATCCATCCACCTGGTCGAGTCAATCTTACCAACTCAGGGATAACTTTTTCTTCCCATTGTGTCTGTGTGAATGCCACAAACATGAACTTTTGATGGACAAAATCAAAATGAAAGTCTCCGAACAGAAGTCCATCCAGAAGATTGGATTCGATAAATTGTAAGTTACCAGGGATACCTTCTGTTGGAAAAATCGGAGAGAAATCTATGCCCGTAAAATGAGACTTGGGGTATTGTCTTGCCATATCCTTTGGAAAGAAAATAAAAAATATTTAATTGTATTGACAAGATTAAAAAGTCATGAAAGCTTATTTACAATTAGCCAAGTCCCTGTTCCACATCTAATTCATTCCATAATTCATGTTAATAAGTATATTGAAATTCATTACGATGTTATGCTGAATACATACCCAATATCAATAACTTTAGCTCCTTGTTGTAACTTCTCTTCAATAGGTGAATTAAATAATCCTCCCCAAATAGTTTTCACCGCTTTAAAATGATAAAGATCCAAATTAACGCCTATTAAACCTTTTAACACAACAAAAATATATTTTTTTTGCTTTGCTAAAAAAGTTTAACTACCATTATGATATTGCATCAAACGTTCCGCCTCTTCATCATCATTTGGAACAGCATACACTGAATTTGAGATATTGTGATATCGTCTACCACCAATAAGCCGAAACTTGAGACGTCCATTTTCCTCTTCATAAAATCGTCTAGAGCAACAATTTCCCATTTCTCTAAATATAAAGCAAATTTAAAAGATTGGAAAAAATGTTCGGGAAAGAAGACTAGAAACTACTTGATTTTATATGACATGCATTGCAAGAATACGATTATTAAACTTGATAGGTATACGTTTTGAGCGTACAATTTTTAGTAATACATGTGCATGTACATATTCGCTCAGAGCGTAAAATTTTTAGTAATACATGTACATGTACAGTAATTAGCCTCTTTCTAGAAAAAAAAGACTGGTGCATGACATTAATTAAACGCCGATTGTACAATGAATGGTTCAAACTTGCAGACTTTTAGAAAATATCTTTTTATTAAGATGGAATTTCTGCACGCTATTGAACCAGATTTAATAAAAAATATATTTTCTAAAAGTTTAAGACGGGAATTCTAATAAAAAAGGACTGCAAATTTGAACCATTAATTGTACCATCGGCATTGTCAATTAATTTATCGTCGGATACTTTTGGCAGGTGTATTTGTGTGTTGAGGGTAACAGTAATACATATCGATATCGATATTACTATTGCCATTGCCAGGCTTGAATGCAGGTTGAAATGCCAACAATAACTTTTATTTCTCATAATATTTATTCGATTTTAAACTGATAATGTATTCTTAGGGCCGCGAGATATATTACGTAATATATATTTACTTTAGAGTTCACCCAGGCAGGTAAGGTATTTGAAACATGTGGCTCTATATATTACATAAGACACTGTCAGGACGTGATATGGTGCATAACATCTAAAGTCATCAAACGTTTGTATTTTATAAAATGGATAAACTTCTTTACTAAAAAGTAAATACAAAATTTAAACCGTGAATATGATAGAATAGCCCCTTTCTGAGCATATTCACGGATTAAATTTTGTATCTACTTCTTGGCAAAGAAGTTTATACATTTTGTAAAATACAAACGTTTGATGACTTTAGATGTTATGCACCATAGAATAATCTGTGATCACACGCACATGACAAACCAATAAGAGAAGTGACATATATTACGTAATTATCAGGGGGAAAGGAGAGTCTCAAAAATCTCACCTTTCACGTGATCAAAAATAATTAGCCAAATAAAATAGAATAAAAATCTCATCTTGGATGGGGGGGAGGGAGTTATCTCTATAGTAACTCGATATTATATAATATATGTCACTCCCCTAACTTAAATATGAATTATATTATTATACATATCTCATATTCGATGACCAATTAAAATTAATTTATTTTCAATAAAGCAACTGATCAAAAGTTTGACACTATTTTTTAAGATTTAAAAAAATAGGATAAAAACTAATATAGGAATATTACTTATATTTTACAAAATATAATATTAACAGTGATTTGACAGAACTTGAACTACCTTTTGAAGATAATAGCTTTATTCAAAATTCAGTTCTTGATTTATCATCAAGTAAAGTTATTAATGAACTAAATATCCAAAACAAAGAAAATTTTGAAACACTTTTATATTAATTAAATAAAATTATTTTTAACAAGATTGAAAAGACAATGACATCTAATAAATCTATTAATTTTATCTTTAAAATTGTACTAAATTCAGAACTTATAGAAATTGGTTTAATTATTTAACAAATTATTGATAATAAAAAAATAATTAAAGCAAATTCTGAAAACTTGCTAAATTTCTCATTTGGTTAGATATATAATACAAGATATTGAGCATGATAAAAACTAAATGACTAATTAGCCAAAAGATGAAGTAAAGCTTGTACTTTTTTAATAGATATGATTATTTAGAAAATATTAAATTATTTATAGATTTAATAAAAGAATAAATAATTGTTAATATATATTATCAAATATCATATGAATATTCAACTAAAGATATTATTTTTAAAAAAAATAATATTTAGCAAGTAATTCAATTTTGTTATATTATTTATATTAATAAATACTTAAAAATTACCTAAAATACTTGGTTTAGTTTGTAGAATTCAAATAATTTCAGAAAATAATTTTGATTACTAATAAAATCAATTAAAATAATTTCAAATTTAATTTTAGCAAGTTAATTGTTTAATTAGATAATATTATTTAGAAAATATTTTTATATTTAATATATTAATAAATAATATTTTTTAATAAAGCAAAATCATAAATCAAAAAACAATATGAAATATACTATAGAGATATATATGAAATTCTATAATAAAATCTTATTAATTCCAAAATATATATCAAAGAACAAGTTTACTATTGAATATTTATTTATAAAAAAGAAATTTACTTATAAACTGAAAAAATTAGCTCATTTTTATAAAAATATATTTTAAATAACAGAAGTTTTTTGAAAAAGAATTCAAAATTCTTTGTTATATAAAAAATAATTTTATATAAATCTTAAAATTTATAATATTATTATTTAAAAATATAAGTATTATAAATAATTATTAATTTTATATTTAAAACAAATTAAAAATACTTTGAACTTTTTATAATAAATATTAACTATTATTACCATTCTACCTTTCATCAATATATCACGTTATATTTTTAGTGCAGTAATATTTATTTAAACTTTTTCTTTTATTTTTACTTTTCTATATTTCTTAT